CTGGCACTTTTTTGGGTTATTAATCCCTTAAAATGAAGGGATACAAAATGAGGAAGATAATGCCTTTTGTTATACCCATAAGCTTGGTTTGGTGCAACAAAAACAGACAAGCCCCTCCTGCATAATTTGGAATATACATTTAGTTTTAACTTTCTTTGGCTCTTCTTCATCCACTTGGAACTGAATCTCTATGGTCCAAAATGTTAACCATTTGGAATATTTGTTATGACTAATAACAGTGTCTTCCTCAGTATTGCTCCTCACAATGAAAGCATTGTCAGATGTTGCACCAGCTTGCTCTCTTCAGGGTTATGGATTGTGTGGCCCTCCAGTTGTTAGATTAGAACTCCCATCATCCCTCCCCCCAGCTATGTTGGCAAGAGCTGCTGACTACACCCTCCCAAAGGGTGCTCAGCAATGGCTCCTCTTCATCTTGGAGAAAAGAGATCAGTGGGGTGCCACAGGAATCTGTCCTGAGCCCAGTGCTGTTCAACATCTTTATCAATGGAGAAATGTAAGGTACTGCACTTAGGGAGAAAACATGAAATGTGTAAATATAGGATGGGGGACACCTGGCTTAACAAAACCACATGTGAAAGGGATCTAGGAGTCCTAGTAGACCACAAGTCGAACATAAGTCAACAGTGTGATGTGACAGCTAAAAACGCCAATGCAATTCTAGTCTGCATCAATAGAAGTATAGTGTCTAGATAAAAGGAATTAACAGTGCCACTCTAGTCTGCTTTGGTCAGGCCTCACTCAGAATATTGTGTTCAATTCTGGGCACCACAATTCAAAAAGAATGTTGACAAGCTGGAGTGTGTCCAGCATGACAGGGGGTTGGACTGGATGGCCCTTGAGGTCTGTTCTAACTCTATGATTCTATGATTCTACACTTGTTTTTAGCAACTGGTTTAAATAAGCCTTCTTTTTCACTTGGGGGAAATAGACACTTCTCTACAGGGACAATAATCTGTCATCCTAACCTGCCTCATAAGGTTGCTATGAGGATAAAATGGGATGAAGGAGGATAACCTTGTATATCTCTTTGAATCCTTTGGAGGAAAGACAAGATATAAATGCTATCAATGAATAACAAAAAAGATTCCACTTTCCATTTAATTTTAACAGTATCTTTCTGTACATGGCAATAGGTTATTGAACACCAATAGACTTTGGTACTTTAGTACATTGTTATCTCATCTGAAAGACTGATCTGTTCAAGCATTCATCATCAATGACTTGGTTAACATGTGATGGAAAAATCATGGTTGGCCAATAGGGATATTTCTCAGAGTTTTATATTCCTGCCTCACTAATCACAATATTCATTGTTTGTTAAATGCAGATTGTTCCAAAAGTGGTCCAGATTGTTAAGGCTAGATTGGGCAAATTGTTGTTTTCTTTAAAATGTGAATGGTGTTCATTCCAAGTTTTTGATTTTTGATTTGGAACCAAGTTACAGCTAGGGGCCAACTGTTGTTTTTTGGGTTTTTTTGCAGTCCTATTGCCTGATTTAGATAAACAAATAATGCTAAACAAATAATGGTTAATGCAAACCAAAAGGTAAGGGACAAAAAAGGTGGCCAGGGCTGCAGAGAGAAAATGCATAGATCTGAACCATGTTTTGACCATTGTACCTTTTCTGTGATGTATGAACCATGATTTGACTATGTTGTCTGAACTGTGATGACCACCATAATAGTAATAGCAACTAATTTGGCATTAGCAGGGGATTAGACAAGTTTATGAAAGATAAGGCTATCCATGGCCACTAGTCATGAAGTTTTGTACATAGTTGGTCCTCCACATCCATGGATTCTTTATCCATGGAATCAACTGTCTACTGCTTGAATATATATACACACACACACACACACACACACACACACACACAAACACACATTCAAAAAAGCAAATCTTGATTTTGCCATTTTATTTAAAAGAAACCATTTTGCTACACTATTGCATTTAATGCGACTTGAGCATCCATGGATTTTTGTATCCGTGGAGAATCCTGGAACCAAATCTCGATGGATACCAAGGGCCTACTGTTTTACCTCCATATATTACATCAAAGTATGTATGCAGAAGCTGGGGCACATGAGTGGAAGGGTGCTATTATGTTCATCTCCTATGAGCTTCTCACTGACCACTCTGGGAACAAAATGCAGGACAACATTGGCTGTCGCTCTGATCCAGCATGACTCTTACATTCTTATTTGAGCCCATATTGGCCTGATAGCTTTTTGTCTTGTTCTTTTTGATTTTAGCCTTTTGACAGTCTTTTCTATGCTGTGCTTTCTAACCATTTCTCTTATTACTCTTTACACCATAGGTTCTCGTCCTCGCCTTGAAGATTCATCTCCACGGATAGTAGAACATCCATCTGATCTCATTGTGTCCAAGGGAGAACCAGCAACACTGAACTGCAAAGCAGAAGGTCGCCCAACTCCTATTGTTGAATGGTACAAGGATGGGGAGCGAGTGGAGACTGACAAAGAGGATCCACGATCTCATCGCATGCTGCTGCCTAGTGGATCCCTTTTCTTTCTGCGTATTGTTCATGGTCGGAGGAGCAAACCTGATGAGGGAGTGTATGTCTGTGTTGCTAGGAACTACTTGGGTGAGGCGGTGAGCCGGAACGCATCTCTGGAGGTAGCCAGTAAGTAGTATTGAACAACTGAATGAATCAACATCCCACTGGTGATTTTATATTTGCCATTTTGCTTCTCAGCTGATTCAGTGTTTGTGTACAACTGTATGGCCTCAAAAGAAGCAATGGTTAATTATTTTTGGGTGAGGTATTGTATATACTTTTGTAGCCTCCATTTCAGTGGGACAATGAATACATTTCACATTTTGATTCTGAACTTTGATACTAGGTTAGCTCCTTTAAAGTTCACACTAAACACTGGAGTGGATTCATTGCCCCAGTAACATAGAAGACACCAGCTGCTACTGAATGTGTGAACCTGATCCTGAGCTTAATATTTGTTAATGGTTACACTTCTGTTATACAGTGCTTCTATCTCTGAAATATTGGAGATGGCTATTTCTTTTTGAACGACAATCATTAATGTTCCATGTATGACTTAGTTCAGTGGGTGCTTATTCTTGGGATTGATCCTATGGAAAATATGACTCTTAAAGTACACATTTACATCTGGTTAATTTCCTTAGGGTCTGCAATATGACCTCAGGAAACACTGATCCATGCACACTCACACAGAAGCTCCTTTCCATTTAGGAGAGCATTCAGCAGTGCTGGATGGGAAATGAATATTGGGCAGTCATGACTGACTGTTGGTATTGGGATACTTGGGAAGAAGTCCCTGCCCTCTCAGAAAAGTGTCTT